GCCTGGCGTCAGACTGCTCCGCCAAGTCTGACTGCCGGGAGTGCTGGAAGATTCTCGACTAGGGTTCGCCAACCGGGGAACTCTACTGGGAGAAGAAAGGCGGTCGCATCCCCGTGTGAGGGGGAATGGCGCAGCAAGCGTGACACCGAGCCAGATCTTCCTGACAATTATCTGTTACCCAACACACGGGAAGAAACCGGCTCTACACGAAGGTCGTAAAACCTTGTGAAGATGTTAGGTGTCAGTCCACTTATAGGAGTATTGCTCTTACGGGACACAGCAACGCCAAGGCTGGATCTGCCTCCTCCGGGGGCAGTGCTTGCAGGTTCATTACTTGATCTCGGAAGGGAGTGGTGGGAACCTTGGGCACGTATCCAGGCCGGGGTCTCAGGACAACGTGAGAGTAGGCCAGCCCGAACACAAGGCAGTCTTCACTTACCGAAAACGCTTGGAGGTCCAAGTGGCGGCGTTTTGTGGGCACAGGTGTACCGCAATCACTCTCTCCTCCTGGGGAATGTCGACGCACCCCCTAGCCGCCCCGCCATCGAGTGTAGTGAGGACGGAGGAAGGAAACGAGCGGCTTCTGGCCATAAAAGGGGCCATCCACGACTACGTCACTTCCTCATGCACCTCTGGGAAGAAAGGAACCAGAGCAGAACGCGGTTGTGAGTCGCGCTCTACACCGAGAAACCAATCGTCCAGCTGCAAGCACTCAGGGCTGGGCAGTGTATTCACCTCCAACCGGATGCTCACAGCTGCCCGGGCAAGCACGGTCGTCAACGCTGAATGTTGAATGCCCAGACACGGAAGACAACGCTTGTGGCCGTTGTCAGAGGACAGGAAACGACCGCATCCAGAAGGACACGGCTCCGAAGCAAAAATCGAATGAGTAGATGCACGCTGTCGCCTTATATACCCATGTGCACGGGGAGTGGCTCAGCATGCAAAATCCACAAGCCAATTCTCATTGGCTTTTTCTCTTAAACTCAGAGATGATTGGGCTCCCAAGTGAGACCCCATATGTCGTTTGACAACTCGTAGTGACCGACGGATAGGGAACCACTGATTACACTTAAGCAACAACACAGCACAATGTAAATAAAAAAACAAACAAACAAAGCAAGCACACATTCCAAGGCAGAGCATATATTTATCATTCAAATTGTTCATGCTTACCCAATGTCGGAGTTCTTATATCCGATTGATGGCGCTCTGAAGATGGAAGTATAAAATGATTAACAGAGTTAAACTGAATGCGTAACAGAGTTTAAAAAAGCAACCACCAAACAACCACTGATAACACTTCAGCAACAACATAGCAAAATAAAAAAAATAAATAAAAAAAATAAATAAAAAAAAACACAAATTCCAAGGCAGAACATATATTCATAATTAAAATTGTTCAGTGGTTCGAAATGCATATGCTTACCCAAAGACCGAGTTCTTGTCTCCGATTGATGGCGCTCTGAAGATGTAAGTATAAAATGAGTAACAGAGTTAAACTGAATGAGTAACAAAAAGCAACCACCAAACAATCACTGACAAAATGTAAAATAAATAAATAAATAAATTTTAAAAAAAAACAAATTCCAAGGCAGAGCATATATTCATAATCAAAATTGTTCAGTGGTTCGAAATGCATATGCTTACCCGATGACCGAGTTCTTATATCTAATTGATGGCGCTCTAAAGATGGAAGTATAAAATGAGTAACAGAGTTAAACTGAATGAGTAACAGAGTTTAAAAAGCAACTACCAAATGACCACTTATTACACTTCAGCAGCATAGCAAAATGTAAAACACACACACACAGACACACAAATTCCAAGGCAGAGCATATATTCACAATAAAAATTGTTCAGTGGTTCGAAATGCATATGCTTACCCGATGACCGAGTTCTTATATCTAATTGATGGCCCTCTGAAGATGGAAGCATAAAATGAGTAGCAGAGTTTAACAGAATTTAAAAACTGATTGATGGTATTTCTAAATGTGTGTTTGCTTGTATTTTCTGATTTAAAAAAAAGAAAATCTTACCAATTTCCCTGCGGTTTGCTATTCTACTCGGAACGGGAACTCTTTTTAACCTCAAAAAATCACCAACTATGAATTTAGATAAAAAATAATCATATACATTATATAAGAATTCACAGAAAAATAAATATCACATGAGACAGATACATTCAAAATAAAAATATTTGAGGAACAGCGGAGATGAACACAGTCTTTATAATAAGTCTTTATAATAGACACATTAATACCATCATTTTCCGAGCCAGTGACCCTCAACAATGTCTCTTTAAGGAGTATTTTCACTCAGCAGCCATATTCGTTATGCCCCTGGGGCTTGGGCAGATACTGATACAGATGTTAGTCACTGAAATACAGTTCCTGTTTGTGTTAATGGAGAAAGACTGAAAGCTACTATACTTCAAATCAGGAGTAATATCTGGAAGAAAAAAAACATTACCCTATTCCTACGCTCAAATCAAAATTACAATAGAAATAAGGTTATTAACATTATTTTTCAGGCTATAATCTGTATGGTCACTAGAGAAAATAAAAGTTATAGAGAAATTCAAGAGAAAACTACCACTAGACCAATAAGCAATGTATATTGAGCATTGCAATTTCTCATAATACTACAGGACAGTCTCTGCCTTTGCAGTCTCTGCCAACGTTGTGGTGAAATTAGTTGCTAATGGGCACTCTAACTCAAACTGTTCCATTTTATAAATGTTGAGACAACATATAGAAATTTAAATTTTTGGTCACTTGGTACATTATGAAAAGCTGAATGGTTAATGTTGATTCACCTTTCTTTGATTTACTGCCCATGTGCTCTTCACATATTTGATCCAGTTGGCCTTTCAATTCTGAGAGAGACTTGTTTACATTCTCAGTTGTCAGTAGCTTATTAAAATCCCTTGGTAAGATTGTATATGAATGTAATTCCGAACAGGAAGGGTAATTCTATAATTAGAAAAAAAGCATCTAAAACAACAATCAAAATAAATAAATAAATAAACTTTGGCAGCATTTCATAAATATATTTTCTCTGTATTGCTTTCTATAACCTGGAAGAAAGTAATGTGATCCTCTGTGTGCAAAAGTGGCTCCAATGTATCTTTATCCTTCTGCAGATTTCTGATCTCGTGCTCCAGTGTCTGTATATGATTCTCAACTTCTTGTACTTCCTTCTCTTGAGCACTGATCTTCTCTCTCATCTCAGCTTGTCTTTTCTGAATGGAGCTGATGAGCTCATCAAAGACCCTCTCACTCTGCTGCACCGCTGCCTGTGTGGAGCAATGTCAGGACAAACAAAAAGCACTTAATTAGCATAGTCAGCATGGCCTTGTTTACCACTGTTGGTTGATTCTGTATTGACACCATCTAGTTGCATCTTGATGGACATTAAAATATTTAAGCTATTCTTGATGAAAACATGACATACAATCCTGAAAGCATTCCTACAGTTATGTATCACAGCCAGTTATACATGTGAAATGGTGAAATGTTCACTGAGTTTTGCTGTAGGAAAGTCAATCCCATAACTGCGCTTCCAAGCCTCTTACATCTTACATGCCTTTTACATAACTGAATCTAATCCTAAAAGCTGAGATTATTTATGAAAATTAAAATAATAATGATAAAAGTGAATATCTCGGATTTTCAAGTTAATAATAACGTTGTTGTTGTGCTTTAAGTCTGCATTTGCACAAGTTGATGTTAAACACTAGTTCCCCAAACATGTGCTATCATGCCATTATTATTATTTTAATGTATAACTGTTAATTTGTTAGCCAGTTTAAGATTACTTTGACACACTACAAAAGGTTTCCTGGAATATGGTCCTGGAGGGCCACTGCACTGCTCCAACTGATCAAACTCAGCTACCTGTAACTTTCTAGTGACTGTGAAGACCTTGATTAGGTTGATCAGGGCTGCGTTTCCCGATAATGGTGTCTCTTAGCGCGCTACGAAGACTCTAAAGATACAACTTAGTCTATTAAATATTAAAATATAAACATACATATATATATATATATATATATATATAAATAAATATAATATAATGAGTATATACATTTTCCCCCAATTTATGCAGTATTTATGTCAAAAATACAGCAAAACTACATAAAATCCAGTGAATGGAGGCAGATTGGTGCCATCTGGTGGAAATAAAGAAAATCATCTATAATAACCATGGTGTAGCCATTAACGCTCGCTGGTTGGTTTCACAAGCCCACAAGAACACAAGTACAGACAAGAACGCATATTGAGAAACAGCTGGTGTTATGTATCCAGTTAGTAAACATTGTGACTTTTTTTTTTATGGGCGGAGCTTAGGTGGAGGAATAAAATTTCCCCTGACTGCTTCACTAACGCTAGCTAGCAAGTTTTGTTTGCTTGTATTTTAACAATGTCACTCACTGTCCGGGACTGTGATTGTTATTTGAAAATGTTAACTTTAACGGAAGGAACCAGATTGGCTGACACGTACACACACTCACTCAATGGATGGATGATCTGACAGGAGTGTCCTGACACACCTATCAGATAGAGAAACCGAGTGTGTATAGTAAATAGAAACCAACTGAGGGCATATAAATCTTTAGAAGCCTATAACTATGTGCTAACAGTGGCAATTGTAAGCAAATGCAACTACTTGAACACACACCTGACACATAACATGGGCCTTCACTGTTCCCTCTCTCTACAATTGAACTTATGGCAATTGAGACACAAACGGGTTCCTTTATGTTTAGTCTCATGGTTGTTAGTTAATTTGTTCCCCAATTTCTTATTAGGTGGGCATGCATGAGAAATCTTTAGACTCGTAACCAAACCATAATCCATGAAAGACAACAGTTTATTTAACCTTAACTGATATCAAATGTATGCTGCAAACACGAGCATTTTTGATGATCGTTTCTGTCGAGTCCGCTCATTTTATTGCCTTTAACCAGTGGCGGCTCGTCGGAGGAGGCAGAATTTTGAGGTGAAAATGGGAGGAAGATGATTTAATGTTAATAAAATTCACAGTTCATTTCAGTTCATGTCTCAGAATGTGTATTTTTTGTTTGTAATTTCACAGCTGTAATACCATAACATGTTAATGAAGTTGGAAAGCGCCGCTTTTCTATCACGAATATGCCGAATCTGCTGATGTAATTACAACCGCTAGGTGATACAGAAGGGGAGGGGGAGGCCGGGGGAGAGCTGAGCTCTCGTGCCTCCGTTGGTAAAAACAAGTACAGACAAGAACGCATATTGAGAAACAGCTGGTGTTATGTATCCAGTTAGTAAACATTGTGACTTTTTTTTTTATGGGCGGAGCTTAGGTGGAGGAATAAAATTTCCCCTGACTGCTTCACTAACGCTAGCTAGCAAGTTTTGTTTGCTTGTATTTTAACAATGTCACTCACTGTCCGGGACTGTGATTGTTATTTGAAAATGTTAACTTTAACGGAAGGAACCAGATTGGCTGACACGTACACACACTCACTCAATGGATGGATGATCTGACAGGAGTGTCCTGACACACCTATCAGATAGAGAAACCGAGTGTGTATAGTAAATAGAAACCAACTGAGGGCATATAAATCTTTAGAAGCCTATAACTATGTGCTAACAGTGGCAATTGTAAGCAAATGCAACTACTTGAACACACACCTGACACATAACATGGGCCTTCACTGTTCCCTCTCTCTACAATTGCACTTATGGCAATTGAGACACAAACTGGTTCCTTTATGTTTAGTCTCATGGTTGTTAGTTAATTTGTTCCCCAATTTCTTATTAGGTGGGCATGCATGAGAAATCTTTAGACTCGTAACCAAACCATAATCCATGAAAGACAACAGTTTATTTAACCTTAACTGATATCAAATGTATGCTGCAAACACGAGCATTTTTGATGATCGTTTCTGTCGAGTCCGCTCATTTTATTGCCTTTAACCAGTGGCGGCTCGTCGGAGGAGGCAGAATTTTGAGGTGAAAATGGGAGGAAGATGATTTAATGTTAATAAAATTCACAGTTCATTTCAGTTCATGTCTCAGAATGTGTATTTTTTGTTTGTAATTTCAAAGCTGTAATACCATAACATGTTAATGAAGTTGGAAAGCGCCGCTTTTCTATCACGAATATGCCGAATCTGCTGATGTAATTACAACCGCTAGGTGATACAGAAGGGGAGGGGGAGGCCGGGGGAGAGCTGAGCTCTCGTGCCTCCGTTGGTAAAAAAAAATTAGCCAATCACCATCAAGTGTTCACTTTCAGCGCTAAGGAGTGTTGACAAAAAAAACCTTGTAGGGGAGGCTAGCCTCCCTTCTGATATCAATCAATCATCATAGAGCGTAAATTACGTGTTATTAGTTTGAACGTCACCCGCTACGCTGATAATGTACCAAGTACTTATGATGAGTAGCGATACTGAATATTTTATCACCTGATCACCAACAGATTTACCAAGCTGTCATTCAAACAGTATATATACAAATAAAAATAAAAAAGGGAAAACACGCCTAACTGGATATAGACTACAACAGTCGGCTTAATTAAATGGCACAACAGGCAGCTCCCTTTTAACACAGACTTTTAAGAAGGGATGGATGTTTGCTTCAAGTGATAGGCCAGGTAAGTGAAGTTATATTGTCATTTTCTTTACGTTTTCTGACTAAAAGCAACCAAAAAGCCATTTTAAAGTGGTTAAGCAAATAATAATAATAATCGACAGGGATCCCAGACCAATACAAGTGTGCCTCCTCTATTTTAAAACCCATGAGCCGCCACTGCTTTTAACCACAGCGGTCATCGGTTTTTGCCTGGCAATGGCAGCAGGTATGCGATAAAATTTCAAATTGGAGCCTGTACTCCATCGATTCTGACACTCAAAGATGACATTTTAAGCTCCTTATTTAGCCGACTCTGTGCTGGTTTGTATTGGCCGCTTCCAGTTATTCCTTTGTTTTGCCTCCAGCTAATGCTTTGATGTAATTGTGACGTCGGCACTAAAAGGGTCATGTCTGGATCGCTCATTGCGTTCTAAACTGCCATTCAGAGGTGAAGCCACCGGAAGTGTTCAAGCCGCCATCTTACTATTCCCTACCGGCTGAGAGATTCACTGACTGACAGCCAAAACACTGACCTAAAATCACCAGATTTGAAGCATATCAATGACACAGGATTAGTTTTTAAGATATGTGTATGTAAATTAATTTTTACTTCAGATGTTATCTGCAATGTTTATGGTCTTTTCAGGCAGGATAAGCGCTATATTGAAATTGTTTAAGTGGGTGTGTCTGCTGCGCACTTGCCGACACTAACTGATCCAACACAAAGTATATTTATGTACGTAATATGCAGGAAATATTAAACATGATTATATTAAACGGATATACAATACATATTACAATCCAAGCCTGTTACTATATTGCTCTATATTGTATTGAAATTCAAATAGGGCTGAACGACATCAGCAGAAAAAGAAAAGAAATAAAACAGTAAACAGCCAAAGGTCGTAACTTAGAATGGAGACGGATCGGTTTGTTTCGCACAGACCCAGGCAGGTGCTGGTCATTTAAAGGTGACGTATCATGAAAATCTGACTTTTCCAGGTTTTAAGTGCTATAATCA